AATATTCTATTGTTTCATGATTATTAGCACCCAAAGCATCTTCAACATTCAGATTCACAGCCAACTCCTCCCTGTTAGTCAGAATCACATTTAAAATGGTTGTCTTCCTGGCTACTTCCTGCACCTTCTGAAATGAAAAGTTGTCCCCAATACATTCCCAAGAACTTTTTGGGTATTTTGCTGTACAGGCAGTCCCCGAGTTACGCGGATCCGACTTACGTCAGCTCCGCAGTTACGAACGGGGTTTGCTGCCCGTCTCCCTGGTCTGCTGGTCTCCAGCAGACCAGGGGGACGCCTGTGGTAGAGCAGCTGGGGCGCTGCTGGTTGGTCCCGCAGCGCCGCTCTGGGCGCTACTGGACAGACCCGGCAGCCCCCCAGCTGCTCTGCCCCAGGCGTCCCCAAGTCAGCCGCTGCTGAAACTGGACGCCAGTTCCGACTTACATACAGATTCAACTTAAGAACCCCAGGCATCCCCAAGTCAGCTGCTGCTGAAACTGACCAGCGCTGACTACAGGAAGCCCGAGGCAGAGTTGCTCTGCCCCGGGCTTCCTGGAATCAGCCGCTGATCAGTTTCAGCAGCAGCTGACTTGGGGATGCCTGGGGTTCTTAAGTTGAATCTGTATGTAAGTCGGAACTGGCGTCCAGATTCGGCTGCTGCTGAAACTGACCAGCGCTGACTACAGGAAGCCCGAGGCAGAGTTGCTCTGCCCCGGGCTTCCTGGAATCAGCCGCTGATCAGTTTCAGCAGCAGCTGACTTGGGGATGCCTGGGGTTCTTAAGTTGAATCTGTATGTAAGTCGGAACTGGCGTCCAGATTCGGCTGCTGCTGAAACTGACCAGCGCTGACTACAGGAAGCCCGAGGCAGAGTTGCTCTGCCCCGGGCTTCCTGGAATCAGCCGCTGATCAGTTTCAGCAGCAGCTGAATCTGGACGCCAGTTCCGACTTACATACAGATTCAACTTAAGAACAAACCTACAGTCCCTATCTTGTACGTAACCCGGGGACCGCCTGTATTACTTTTCCAGCAACATCTGTGTAGCTCTAGTTCTCTGTTATCATAAGGTCTTGTGTTTTGGATATTTATATTTGTTCCAACTTAATTGTTTTTAAGTTGAGGCATTGAGAAAAGTTTAGAGAATGAGATTCACAAAACGGGTGGGATGAGCAACTCTTATAAATCAAAAATATCACTGGTGTCAGGGTTTTCTCCTGATGTGAGAGACCTGGGTTCTATCTGATGTGTAGGAAGCATGTAAGCTTGGGTCTCCCACAACCTAGGAGAGTGCCCCAGCCATCAGGCTATGGAATAGTCTAGCATGGGTCTTTCTTAATTCCTTCCACTGACAGTGTTCTACTGTGAAGAAAACAAAATAGACATTGCAGCAGAGTCTTGGGTCTCCCACATCCTGAGTGCCATCATGCTTCAGAATCAACCACCCTGAAGCAAAATGAAGTTTTTCCTAACAGTGCAGAAGGAAAATGATCATGTCAAAACAAAACCTAAGTGTTCACATTTTTCAGTTTGGTTGAAGCTAGTTGGCGAACTTGACAAGTTCGTGAACAGTTTCAGGTCCATCGTGACTGCATTTGCAAATCAAGTGCCCAACTCTAGTTGCACAGTGTGCGTTTTAGCGACATACAGGGCTGCAAGGGTCTGCAGCATGTCTCCACCTTACAACCGCCCCTGGAAGACCTGAAGAGTGGTATGAGTAGATGGGGTAAAAGTCTATCGATGTCCGCTGTAAAGACAGAACCTCGGCAATGTTCATGCTTAGATACATGACAAGTACATTAAAAATGCTTACAGACTGAATATTTAAGCTTTCGTTTTGAACCTTATTTCCCAAGTGTTCTTCTCGCAGGGAGTGGATGTTAGAAAAGGCATCAGAGAGGCTGAAGGATTCAAGCTGTGCAGCAAAAGGGAGCCTGGCCGTGCAGAGAGCAGTCCCTGACCCATGGCGGTGGCTGATGCATTATGCATACATTTTTAAGCACCACATTTCTTTGGCAAAACTGCCACGATTCACGCACGATAATGGTGCCCCAGTGAAAATGCTCTACCTGAGTACTTGGCGATATTATCCAGCAGAAGGGGGTACTTAGTCAGCCTCTGCATCTCAGTGGGAATGATATCCTTCAACTGCAACCGGCGACACAGTGGATTGCTCTCAGCATCCTAAAATTAAACAGCGTAATAATGGCATTTGTCATTTTTATTAGGACTATAATTACCTGAACATGTACCATCTATTCATCATATAAATGTCTATTACTTCACATTTCCGGTAATTAAATACAAGACAAGAAATCCCTACATTTATCACTCAGACAACACAGCCCTTTCTTTCTCATTTGCAATTACATATAGGAAAAGGTTCATCACAAAAGCAGTGGCTTCCTTCCCTCATTACTTCACACAGGCTAGTACCATCCATAATCCATCTCAGTCACTGCCATATAGGGAAGACATCAGCTTCGTCTTCTACACTATGAAGACACTGCACTGCATTTTTCAAAATTATATCAGTCCTTGTATTACTAGAGTTCTCATCCAGAGTCGGTGCAGCTAACTCTCCTTTTCAGATGGCACACATCCCAGTGGGAAGGAACTACCATGTCTCTCATTCAGGGCACACACCCAATTGCTTACTCTACTCTGCTCCATACACCACCTGTTCTCAATCAGCCATCTGCACAATGGAACAGAGATGGGTAACTAAATCCTCTAACTCAGTGTTTCTCAACCAGTAGTACAAGTACCCTTAAGGGTACTCGGGAGAAGTCTGGAGGGTATGTCGACCCAACTGAAATTTGGAGAAAACTGGACTTAAGTTTTACAGCACTTTATTATTTGTGTACTTTTTACACCCAAAAATTTAATCGCCCGCCCAGCTATGATTAAGTTGTTTAAACAAACATGTTGCAATGGTACAAAAAAAACTGTGTATGTCTGAAAACTGTAGGTACTGCGGGTACTTACTTTTTTTTTTTTTTTTTTTAAAAGGTTGTACTTTATTTAAAAAAAAAAAGCCTGAGAGAAACTGCTATAATTGAACCAGTTCCCTCTACAAAATCATTCTCTTTAATCCTCAACCTTAAAAGTTCACCTGTCCAAAAGAGATTAACAGAAAATCTGGTGTTGGAAATAATCCCAATCCAATGGCAACGTTCGACATAATCCTGCTAATTGTATGAACCTTACATACACCTCCCATTTATCCTTCACTGACCATCAAGCAAACCTGGAACCAGCTCCAACCTGAGTGAAACTCACCTGCACAAACGTTTGGAAACGAGAGTCCTTCTTCTGCCGTGATTTAATCACTTCTAGAGCAAAAGGTTGGTTACTACAAAAGGTGGCAGTTGCGTGTTTCAGGTTCTCCTCTCCTGCGCCACTGAACTGTGCCAAAAAACAAGGGAGCCAAAGTTAAACAAACAGGCATATGCTAGCGGGAGCTCTGACACACGGCAAGGAGGCTGCTCAGACTTAACGCCGAGCCGTTTACACATCCTCGGCTTCCTCACCCCAACCCTTTGCAGCAGAGAAGCTCTCCAGTTAGACCTGCTTTTACACAGCGCACTTTTCACAATCACCATCTATCAATAGCCCTGGCAGACAGAGCTGCAAGGCACTGAGCTCACTAACTCAGAAGACGACACAAGGCCATTGCTTGGTTCATCAACACATTGAGTCAAAATCAGCCTTGGTGTATGCAGATTGGACTATTTACACCAATAGAAATAGTCCAGATTCCTCCCTCACTATTTTACTTCACTGTTGACCTGTAAACAAGTCCAAAGCCACCTGCTACGATGCCTCACCGACTGACATCCCAAGCCTTCCTTCCACTTACTTTAAAAGGTTCCAAGGAAAAAACAAGACTCTGTAATTTTTTGCTTCTTTATAATAGAGAGGAGACCCAAAATGTTTGGCATTTCCCTCCATCAGAAATATCAGGTCTGTGTTGTCTTCTTTTGGCTACAGGACTGGAGAACTGATGGGATTAACAGATCTCAAGAGACTGAGAAGTGAAGGTGGTTTAGCCAGACTCGGAAACTCTAAATTCAATAGGTTTCACAGGAAATCAAGAGAAAGTCTGACTCTGGGGAAATAAGAATTTTTATGAAGGATTTGAACACTGACACTCCTTCCACTTGGGTCTGAGGAAAATCTCATTCCAGTTTTCAAGTCATTTTAGGAATCCTTCCGCAAGATGCAATACTTAATCTTCTCAATATTTCCAAGTAAAAAGGATAAGTAGTCCAACCACCCAGCAAAGCCCATTCACCTTCTCTCTCAAACACAGGCCCCCCCCTCTCTGTTTTCCACACACCATAAAGAAGCAAAAGCATCAGACAAGTTTTCCCCTCTAAGCAGGTCACCTTTAAGGAAATGACTCACGTGTTTATCTTAGCTGAATAAAGCACTCTACTAGAAAAAGCGCTTACCCAACTCTGCTGAGCTCCCTCCACCTTCTAACAATCCCATGTCTCTTCCTCCACGTTAGTGCCACAGAAATACACAATTTCAGATATTATGTACTTAATGGAGGCAAGTTACACTGGTTTCCCCAGAGCTGTATTTACTATTGAATTGGATTCTCACTTTCAGGAATAATTACATTTTTGAACAGGGAAGAAAAGAAATTCAGCTTACCCAGGTTAGCAAGTCTTCCCCAATCTGATCAATAACTGATGTCTCATTCCTTTTACGGACAGCTTTCATCTGATCATTCAGCCCAGCTAGAGGGAGCGGGAGGTGAAGACAAAAGAAGGCAAAACAAATCGGTCATTTATTTCAAAACAGGAACAAACCTACTAGGAGAGTGGATGGCAAATTAAAGTGAAATAAAGCAGAGTGGTAGATTGCAGACTAAGGCTATGTCTAGACTGTAGCGTTACATTGGAAAAAGATATGTGTTGCATAAAAAAGCCTCCGCCTGAGCTCACTAGATTTATATACATGGATTTTCTGAAGCTACACCAAACTGTAAGGTCTAAGGTTTTAAACTGCAACTTATTGTGATCCTTGTCAATCTTTGTAATCTGAGTAACTCTCAAACTTACTGTAAACTGCAATTTTGTAATTTGTAACATGCAACCACCTTGCTTGTAACTTTCCCTAAACTGCATTCTCCCCCGTGAATGGAGAGAGAGAGTGAGTGTGAGTGTGTTTGAAGAAGGCTTAGAACAATGGACCACATGGCAATGAGTCATCACAGTCTGGGCATGCTCCCTGCTGGATAAAGGGAAGTCTGGGCATGCTCCCTGATGACAAGGTGAATGAGTCAGGGGGCCATTCAGACAATACAAGGAGAAGGAGCACATGTGAGACACTTTTTTTTCCCCCCCTTCCCCTGCTCCTGAGAAGCTCCTCTCCGGTGTCTCTCTCTCCTGACCAGCTTCCCCAGTCACGATGAGCAGACAGACCCTCCAGGATCCACATGCTTTGGCTCCTTCTGCACTGTGTAAGTGTGTGAGTGCCTGAGGGCAGGAATGAATGGGTGTGAATGAGTGAGTGAATGGAGGGGTGTGTACTTGCGTGCATGAGAGCGAGAGCGTTCTATCTTCTTTAGCTTAAACCTTTGGTGGCTGCTTTCTCCTCTTTAGTTCTATTTAGTGGAAATAAACCCATACTAGTGTAACCCTGGGTGGTCTCCAGTGAGAATATTTTGGGGGTAACAATATGCAAACTGTGAACCACAATTTGCGTATCTTTTCCTCCTTTTTTTTTTCCCTGGAAGAGGCTTTTCCAAAATTTGGCCCATCTACATGGGGCCACATTTCAGAAAAACCTCCTCTTTGGGAACATCCCTTATTTCTCATGCAATGAGGAATACAGAAATGCCGAAAACATGTCTGCTTTTTCAGAAAGTTTTCTGAAAAAGCGGACAAGTTCCTTAGACATGGCAGAGCTTTTCCCTGCAGTGTAGACATAGCCTAATATTGGTAAACAGGAATGACCAATAAGAATGAGCAATACATAACTCCTCCAAGAATTTTTCCAACATTATTTTGTCTACTTCACAAGGAAGAGGTTGAATATTATTCTAATATTACAAGGTGGGGAAACAGACACAGTAAGGTAGCTTGACGAAAGTCACACAATGATACAGATGGAATCCCAACAGTCCCTTGTTCTAACCATCAGGTAACTTTGCTTTCCAGAAGCATCAACATCCAAAAATATACTGGTCCTGTTAGTAGCCCTCTCCTATCATTCTCCTGGGCAGCATCTGTCTAGTTTGCTTTTTTGCATGTGCCTAAGAGCGTTCATCTCAATATTGCTCTCTCTGTGAAAAGCGAGTGTACACCACCTTATAACAGATCAGAGATATGGATAAGACCAAGAGTGTATCTGGTATCTTGGCAACAGATATGCTTGTAAACCAAATATGAAACGATGCATGCAATTCGAGAGCTGTGTGTGGTTGCCCACTATGTGCGAATATACTTATGCAAGTATGCATATCTAGATTTGTGCATCCGGCCCTATAATCGTGAACTAGCAGAGCTGAAAGGTGTCTCGTCCACCCTTACTATGGAGCAGAAGGATATCCTCCAGGTTTGAAAATATTTTCCGCAGGTCAGATGGGGTCAGGATGCCTTCCCGCAGCACACGTTGGTAGAAGACCTGATGCAGAACCTTCAGCGTGCGGACGTGAGCTCGCTCTGTGTAGAACAGCTCTGAAGAGGAGGAAGAAATACAGGATTGTTACTGATTCAACACAGTAACGCTGTGGATTCCAACATGGTCTACCACGGGAAGCCATAATCTACCAGCAACTGAGTTACTTAATACGTTAAGCAGTTTAGAGAGCATCTATGAACTCTGGGTGAGGAACATGAATCTGTAAAAATCTGTGCCCTGTTTCTGCTTTGGGGACTGAGTAAGTCTAACCTCTCTGCATGTTACCTACTGTTCTGTACGAACGTCATACCATCAGCTTGCAATGCATGAAGTTGGCAGGCCAGAAACTATAGCTTGTACCTCACTAGGAGCCCTTTAGGTGAAGCAAGCATTCATTTTATGTTTTGGGAAACTGTAGGTTCCAGGGGTTGGTGGGCAGCAAAGAGAAACATGTGAACTCACCATTAATCACTTCCTGGCGTTTGATTTCATAGGGTTTCAGCCCCAGCAGCACCTCTTGGCTTACCAGCTGCTGCCAGTTGGGAGGATCGGTCTCAGTATCAAAATCAAACAGCTCGTCCTCACTCTGAATATCCCCAAAGCCCACACTGTCCGTCCTGAAGTGAGAGAACACTCTAGTCAGACGCTTTCTGATTCAGACACATGGGGAAGAAAATGGAAATGTGGACGCAGAAGAAGAAGAAACACGCAGTGGTAAGATATTAAAGAAACACCCAGGGAAGCTGCCAGACGCCTTCTGGTTCAAAATGCAGTTTGGTACTTAGCTTTTTTAGAGGGACCTTTTCTAAGGCTTAGCATTCACTCTCACAACACCCTCTGCACTGAGTGCTGTAATCCCCATTTTACAACGTGAAGTCATTTGCCCAAGGTGTCACAGTAAGCCAGTGGAAAGGGGTGGGAGGAAAATCACCTCTTCCCTTGTATCTGCAGGTACCATCATGACGACTTAACAGAATCCAGCATTCTTGATTCCCAAACCACTGTAAGTGCTAATAATTAGTGCTTTTCCATCCAGACATCACACCCTGGATATTCATTTCCCCTTCACCTTGCACTATACTGTATCTGGGTGACAGAGTGTAATTTCATACGTATATTATGGTCTCTGAAATTATTTTGAACAGGGACCGATAATGACCACTGAGCTCTACTCTGGAAGATGGTGGCTTAGCGGATAGCACACTCAACTACCACGTCGGAGATCTGGGTTCAATTCACAGCTTTGCCGCTGACCACCTGGTTAAGTCATTTCCTTTCGCCATGCTTCAGGGGATCATTAGGCTGATCTCCTTTGTAAAGCGCTATAGCCAGGTTTGACTAGAGAAGGACGTCTTTAATTCCTACCAGCTCATCACTATACTCACTTGCGGAAAAGCTTTGGTGTTCCCAAGTCGGCTAATCTAAAAAACAAAAAGCACATCACATTAGAAAGCTAGCACAAGTAATGGGATTTCACTCCATTCAGTGGAGTTCCAGAGTGAAATCTTAGGGACTGGTTTGTGTCTCTAGACAATTTGGTATTATAACCCTGATGCTGAATAGAGAGTTTTCAATACAATTTCAGTGGGAGAAAATGAAAATCTCAGGGCAATGTCACAATTCCTCTTTTCCCCATAGCACATCATATATATAGTAGCCAAATGTCTGAGAGTCTGTAACACTTTAGTGCCGAGCGCCACAGCAGTAGGGGAAGGGGGGCGGGGCGGTGACGTACACAGCCCCGCCCCCGGCGGTGTACGTCACTGGGGTAGGGTGTAAAAAAACCTGGACACCCTTGATTGGGGGCGGGCGGGGGGAGAGACCGGCCGGGAGAGGAGCAGGGCTGGCGGGGGGATGGAAAGCAGAACTGCGGGGGAGGGGGACAGGTCACAGGCAGCAGCAGCTGGCCAGGGGCAGAAGGCGAAGAAGAGCTGAGAGAGAAGGCGAGAGAGAGGAGAAAAAGCGCGAGCGCTCAGGAGAGAAAACAGACGTGGAGGAGAGACCTGAAAATCCCGTCTTATGACGGGCTAACTGGCTAGTAATGATTAGAATAGCCCACGCTGCCAATACTATTCTACAGACCCAATATAACAGCTTTAATTCTCTTTGCTATTCCTTTCCCAACTCAAAATAACCTGTGCCCATGGATACCTATCTAATTCTCCTTCCTCCTCTTGCAATTGGTCCAGCGGAGGAGATGGGAACTCAAAGATGGTGTTAGGTGTGCGGGGTGCGCCATCCGTCGAGTCACTCAGAGGTGGAGCTTCACCAGACTGCTTGGGGCCTGAAAAGACATTGGTCAAGAATTTCCAGGAGAGCTCAACACACAAAACTAATGTTCACAGGAGACATTTTGATTCACAGCCTCCTTCTCACGGAGGCCACGGGAAGAGGAAAAAAAAGAAATCAACAATTCCTGAATTGGGAAAGAAAGAAGCCCTAATAGAGAAGCACGTGGATAGTGCATTCATCTATCTCTTCAGGGCTGGGTGCTTGAGCACTGAAGTTGGGATGGTCACACAATTCAATATTTGGAAGCCCATGTCAAGCCACTTCCAAGAACCTGACACAAATCAGCATAGACCGCTGAACACAAAGGGACGTCTAGACTACGAGCCGATTTTTCAAAAAAGTGAGCCGCTTTTTCAGAAGTCTAGACGCTCTTTTGAAAAAGCAGTTTGCATTCAACAGCGCCTTTTTTCAAAAGCATACTTTTGAAAAAAGGCGTTATTCCTCGTAAAATGAGGTTTACTGCAATCGAAAAATGCTGCGTTCTTTCGATTTACTTTCGAAAGAACGTGGCTGCAGTCTAGATGCAGGTGAAGTTTTTTCGAAAAAACCCTGTAGTCTAGACACACCCATAGCATCACAGGGTCTAAAGGCCTCATTGACAGTAACATACCCTCGAAATGAGATAGCAACACACACATCCCATCTACAATACAGCATGTAATACTCCCCTCTCCAGCTTCTTCTCACCTGTGTCATTTTCCTTGCTTCCGTCCGGTGAGGCAAAGGGCCCCATAGCTAAAGGAGACATGGGATTGGCAGGAGGGCACGTTTCCGTGCCATCGCTAGAGGACCCACTCTGGCGCATCTTCACTGAGTCCTGCGGCTCTGGACTAACTGAAGAGGCAGTGGATAAGTGCTTTGGATGACGCTGCTTCTGTATTTCCATGGCCCTGCCAACTGAACAGACACAGACCAGACAGATTGCTGGAGACTTGCCTCTCTCCAGAAACCGAGGGATAGAGCGCCTCAGGGAGATTTCAAGGAATTATTTCATTAGCTTACTTAAAAAAACAAAACCACATTTCAAACTGAATGGCTCTCCGGTTAATGAATGGCAATTGAAGCTCTGAGACAAGAGTGCTGCGCAGAGCTTCTTAGGCTGACATCTCAAGTACTTTACGGAGGTCACCGAAACAGAGTATAAATATCAGTGGGATAGAGGGATGCAGTGGATGAGGATAGGTGCATGGGCATCTGATTTTCAGACAATAAGCAGGCAAAATACATGTCCCATGGTCTTACATACTTGCACTGCTGTCATGGCGACTCGGTCTCCTTTGTGGTCCCAGGATACTGGTGAAACCTCTCCTCTTCACCTTTTCCTCCCCTTCTTTCTCTTTCTTTATACTTTGCTGTGGTTAATGCAGAACCAAAGAAAAACCAAATAAACACAATTGTAACTGACTCCTGGGGAAAATGAATCTGCTACTTCTCAGAACTCTAGAAGTTCAAGTTGGGAGAGACCTAGTCACACTGTCCCAAACCCTCTCGCTACGTCTACACTGGCAAGATTTTTCACAAATACTTTTAACGCAAGAGTTTTTGTGTTAAAGTATTTGCACAAGACAGCGTCTACACTGGCATGTGCTTTTGCACAAGAGATGTGCTTTTGCACAAAAGAATCCGTGCCAGTGTAGACACTCTCTTGCGCAAGAAAGCTCCAGTGGCCATTTTAGCCATTGGGCTTTCTTGTGCAACAAATTCATGTTGCCTGTCTACAAGAACAGTTGCACAAAGAGGGCTTCTTCCTGAGCGGGAGCATCATAGTTCTTGCACAAGAAGCACTGATTTCACACAGCAGAACATCAGCGTTCTTGCACAAGAACTCCTCGCCAGTGTAGACAGGCAGCATGTTTTTGCACTTTTGTGCAAAATCATGCCAATGTAGACACAGCCCCTGTCAATGCAGGACAGTTCACAACAGAACTTAGATTTCAAAGGCAAGAAGAGCAGTTTTAAGAGTTGTTTCCTTACCTAAAGATTTTACAGGACTAGAAATATGAGAAGAGGGGGGCCAGAAGTCAGGCAGACAAATTAGAGAAGAACAAAGCTAACATGTCAAAACCTAGGCTTTTAAATCCCTCTTTAAACACATGACATTCTACAGCAGTGGTTCTCAGCCAGCAATACCTGTTCCCCTGGCGGTACAAAGAGGTCTTCTAAGGGGGCACATCAACTCATTTAGATATTTGCCTAGTTTTACAAACAGGCTGCATAAAAAGCACTAGCAAAGTCAGTGCAAACTAAAATTTTATGCAATCACTTATTTGTACAGCTCTACATACTATACACCAATATAAATATTGCCAATTGATTTATTTTATAATTCTAAGGTCTAGATGAGAATATAAGCTATTTTTTACTAACAGTGTACTGTGACACTTGTATGTGTGTCTGATTTTGTAAGCAAGTCGTTTTAGAGTGAGGTGAAACTTAGAGGTACAGAGCATCTCCTCTGCACATCGCCCCGGCTCACATGCATTCCACACTGAAGCTGCTGATGCTTGTAGGAACTGATGAGTTATAAATCCTCTGACTTCCCACTCTTAAGTCGTGCAAAAAAACCAACAACCCCCAATTTGCACGAAGGGAAGTCAGCTGTGGGGGGAAAAAAATCTTCCGCTTTAGGTTGTTTTGCTACAACGCCAAGATTTCTGAATGTATCTTGGACTTGTAGCAAGGACGGTCTGTCCACCAAACAGAACCGGCTCCGGAAAGGGGCACAGCAGTTTGGAAAGGTTGAGGACTACTTAAGCCCAGCTCCCATTGAAGTCAATGGAGGCTGCAGGGACCCAGGACCACTGCAAAACAGGCCACTTATATTTAGGCACTCAAGTCTGGAGTCTCACTCACACACTACACACGATAGAAGAGGTTGGTCATAGATTCCAGCTATGCCGCATTTACCTTTATCTTTGGCAGGAAACCAATACGTCCACGCTTCTGCTCCAAGCTCCGGGGCTCCTTGACTCTCACACCCAGATTTTTCATGTAGGTAAGGATCACATACTGCATGGCTGAGCTACAAGCCAACCAAAAGAGAAAGGGGGGAAACTGGTAACCAACCTCTTAATTCTGTACACCAATTTTATCATTAACAACTGATTTTCTAATTAAATTTCTTCTCTGGTTTAGGGGCACCAATTCATTTTGATACGACTCAGTCACAAGAGACCACACCTTGCCCATCACAGAATTAGTCCTCTTGTGTAAAATATAATCCCAGGTACCTGCTGACAGCGGCATCCTCTGTAACACTGTTGTTGGTAAGGGGTACCTGTCCCCGTGGGGGGGTACATAGACGTCTTCCAGGAGGTACATCAACTCATTTAGATATCTGCCTAGTTTTACAACGGGCTACATAAAAAGCACTGGCAAAGTCTGCACAAACTAAAATTCCATGCAATGACTTGTTTGTATTGCTGTGTGTATTACACTGAAATATAAGTACAATATTTATATTCCAATTCCTTTCTTTTTGATGGTACACGGGAGATCAGCAATTTGTCAGTCAGTGTGCTGCGACACGTTTGTATTTTTATGTCTAATTTTGGAAGCGAGCAGTTTTTAAGTGAGGTGAAACTTAAGGGCATGAGGGACCAAATCCAACTCCTGAAAGGCTACATTAATTTGGCAAGGTTGAGACCCACTGCTCTGACATTTTTAGGCAATTATTCAGAAAATGGTTTTCAGAAGTTCCAGAACAGTAAGCACGCTAGTAACGTCGCACTACAACTTGCTCTGGTACAGTAGGGCTCCATTCAGAATGAGCTATGATAGAGAGCACCTCTGGAAAATGATGTTTGCTGCTACAGCCAGCAGAGGGCTACATTGTCCTATTCAGCAAAGAGTAGGACACGGAGCCAAGCATCCGCAGCTAGGTGAGGCGATTTTATTCAACAAGCCAACACGGTAAGACAGGTACATTACCTCTTGTCCTCTTCCAGAGGCTGAGATGTCAGCCTGCAAATGAGAAAAGAGACTGTTTGAAGAACTCAAACCAACCCCGAACACTCTTAGTCAGACGGAGCCAGCACAGCAGCACATAATTTGGATAGTGCCTCCTCCCTGAATGCTAAGAAATCCCAGCCAAACTCCACAGGGAGAAGCCTGCAGCCGCTTCTCTAAAAGTCAGTCCTGAGGCTGCAAGTTTCTTTGAGCCAACTGAAAAAAATCCTGGATCTGACACTTAAGATTCCAAGAACGGAACGGCTCTTTAACAAGTATTCCAGGAATAAGCAATACTGGACTATCTGGGGTTATTTTCTCTGGAATATTTTCTGAAGGCCTCCATTATAGTGATGGTTAATCCCACAGCAGCTAGAAGCTAACTAGGGAAGAGGGGAAATGTGAGGATCTTGAGTTGTTTTCAGTCCTCAACTCCTTTGCTTTGCTCTTGTCAAGCTTTGAGCAGACCAAATACGGTCTGCATGTTACTCCCACATTTACACCCGCTGATACTTACAACACCTCCTCGATTTTGGTAATGATCTGCTCTGCACACGCTCGCTCTTTCTCCAACGTGATCCGATCACGGACACGTTCTGCATCCAGCTTGGTCAGTTCATTTTCGGCCAGTGTCAATCCCATGCTACGTTTCTGTCTAAATAAGGAGAGAAAATAATAAACCTGGGGTGACCTGAAGAACTGGCCTTCCCGCATTTAGAAAGCTCAAAAGGTCCAGTCCGACCTCTCCTTACCAAAATGCTACATGGCCTTGGGAAAAATTACTTCACCTCTCTGTGCATCATTCATCCTAGCAGCAAGTGAGAGCCAATCCCCCTTCCCAGAGCAAGGTGGCCACACTAACTTGGCAAGTAGAGCTTCATGAAACAGCCACTTCGGAGGTCAAAGGGGGCAGCCAAATAGCTGTACGAGAAGTGATGCCCCATACAGAGAGAGGGGGAGGTGGGAAGTTGGCCAAGGAAGAGAGGAAGTCTGATCTGAGCACTATGCACTCAGTGTCTGCGTCAATCAAGGTGGAATGCAAAGAGCCCCGGGCCCTTCCAAGCAATCATGGATAACCATGGAGTTGCTCTGATCACAAATAGCAGAGGAGCAAGCAAGCTCCAAAAACATGGAGGATTCATCTAGGCCAAAGATTAATAACCAAGTCCTGGAAGTTTGAACTTCTCTCCATACGAAACGCAGAATGTTAAGTTGGGGCAGGGATGAAGTTGAGCACTTGGTACAAGCTGCAGGAGAGAGTATACATACCTGAAATCTTCCAGATGCCTTTGGACATCTGGATAAACTTTATCTTGCATAGTTTGGATATAATGGCGGTGCAGCTCCTCTGGAATGAGTTCGGGCCTTCTTTTTTCTGCAGGTAAAGGAAGGAAGCAGCAGCAGGGTTTCACTTTATAACACTACAGAACAGTTACTCTGTATTAGCATAAAGCCACCCATGTAAATTCCATGTAGCATGCAATCTACCAGGTGGAGGTACATTAAGTGCCAACAGCATTAGCTAAACCCAATATCAGACTATACCAGTACAAGACGTAGGTGCCCATGCCTCCCATACATCAGTGTGTACAGAATGTTCTTCACAATCAGAACAGTAACAGGCTCACCTCCCTGTCTCCCCAAGTTTGATACAGAACATTGTAGGTCTCAGACAGCCACAGGGAGAGCTCTTTACCAGCTCTGTTAGGACTGTCTCAAACAGTAGGATTTATGCCAATAGACACTCAGGACCTTACCTAGATCTACAGAAATTTCGTCTGGAACTGGAACCTTCAGATTCTGAAGAAAAAGAAAAAGCAAATGTAAGAGTGAGAAACCACATGACAGACTCTTTTCTCCCTCTAAACCACAGGTTCATCAAATCTGAGCACTAGCTGGAGTTGCTAAGGCAATTCCCTCTCCACTCATCTTAGAGATTCTAAGGCCAGAAGGGACCATCGTAAATACCTACTCTGAACTCCTGCACAACATGGGTGAAAGAATTGTCCAAAACATTTATTTCTAGAACAGATCTTTTTGATAGCATTGCACTTTTACTAGGTACAGCAGAGAGGTGATTTCACCTTCCTCCAAGGTATGTGGTGCAGACCTCTGCTATAGGCAGGACATCAGATGGATAAGCCCCATGGACTTGCTTATTATGGCAAAATTGAGGTTCCTCATCTTTGTAAACAGGTGCACAAAATTCCCACATTAGCAACTTTCACTTCAATTTAAGCAGCAGAATCCAGCTCTATTGCAACTGACAACTGCCCGGGTTATCTTTACTGTCCAACTCTGTCCTTTGATAGGAAATGGAATAACTGCTCATGAGTCAGAGAGTTTCCAGAGCCCTGAGGTTCCGTGCAGATTTATTCTTACATTCAGTGCTAAGATTTTAACAAGAAGTTGGGAGTAGCTATTTAAGACAGACAGGTACTGCCTGAGGTGGGGATGAGAAAACTAGGAGTAACTTAAAAAAAATACGACAGTGTTTGAATGCTAACTAAAGTTTTCAGATTTCTGAGCACTGGTGGCAACACTATGACAGCCATTTAGTCATTTCAGTTTACACAACTCTAAATGATCATACATTTTAAAATCTGCAGAAGTAAACTCAACTTGACAGACCATAAAAGATACAGAACAGGAGAGACACCCACGTATGGTGTAAAAAGGCTGTGAGCAGCGTGAATTCCCAGAAATCTGAGGCACTGAAGAGAAGGCTGTATCAGCTTTAATCCATAACAACACAGAGCACACACATTATGCATTTCTGTAGCGCATGTCATTCTGAAGCTCCAGTTACACACACCCACACGTGCTCCCCCTCCCCCCCCCAATGTAATACAGCACGTCTAGGTTGTAAAGCACCAAATAAATGTAATGCAGGGAAAAAAAATCTTCACAATATGTGCAAAGAGTGAGGACCAAGAGGAGTTCTGGCCTACTCTTGACACCCCAGACACAACAGATTTTACCACCAAAAACTGAAGGGGCTAGGTTCTCCCTGCCTAAGGTTCCACAGTACCACCTAGAGGATTTCTAGGAGCTCTCCTGCACATTCTTTTGTGATATACAGTTGTGGGGGGGAGGAGGGAGAGAGGGGGAGAATGGACAGAGAAGAGTATACCTATCTTGGAACCTACCGCAGCTCGGTCCAGAAAGAACTGGTTAAACTCAAGGAAGACCCGACGAGTCTCTTTGGAGTTGGTCTGTTTGTACAAGTCTGTGTAAAGGTAACAAAGCTAGAAGGAAGACAGAGAAAGACAGAGTGAGAGCTCTCCTAATTCTACCTGTGAATTTCTGCCCAAATGTTCAGGGAAGATAAACCACTCAAAACTCCAGTTACTGGTGAAGAACTTGCAGTGTGGCTGTGCTGAACAGATGAATACTTTTAGCGGTCATTTTATTTATCTGACATTTCCCTTCAGTTACTCAAAAGCCCAGTGCACAAGCGAGAGCTGAACCCTCACAAAGCGAGTTGCATTTTTCTCACTGCCAAAGTAGCTGCACTATCTGGGATTATGCTGCTTAAGAAGCAATTCCAGAACACTCAGGCCAACCCCGTGAATCTGGTCCAGTAAAACCATTCCCAAGTGACAACTTACCAGTGTGGCTGGGTCAAACTGTGACACCACATGATGCAGGAACACAGCCAGGTGAGCGGGGCGAGATTTCAGCAGCTCAATGTTCTGGAAACAGCTGCATTGCCCATTGATCTGTAACGACAGACAGTCCACTTCAACTGTACCCAAAGACCTGTGAGAAACCTGGAAAACTTCATGCCAGTTGATTGATTTCTCCTTTCTTTGGTAAGCAACAGAGCAGCACCAGCCTAACTCCAGGTTCCAGGGACTAATCAGAAAGAGCTCAGCATCCACCCACTTCCTGGTCTAACCCGTACAGCAGGGCTACTCAATATGCGGCCCGCAGCCCGTTTGTTTGTGGCCCATGGTACCGTTTGGATTTACATGGAATGCAACATGTGGTCTGGCCCACAGGTGGGAGTCAAAACAAAAAAGGAGTCAATAGACTGGTCTTCTGTTGAGATGCGTTTTAGTAGTTAAATTCCTGGACTGTCATTGCTCATTAAAAGTGCTGTCATATGGGTGGATATCGGGTAAATATTGCATTGTATTAATATCAGCAAAACCAACTTAAATGGGGCCTGTGTGTTGTAGTCTTGCCTTAATCTTTGTATTCATGCCTGTCAGCGTGAAAGAAGCTATTTGCATATATTTTCATGTCTATGCAACCACACTTAAGTTGTGGACCTCGACATGTGCTGTGACTATCATTGTGGCCCCAGGGCTTCCAAAGTTGAGTAGCACTGCCGCACAGTTTAGTACTGTAAAACACTGTCACACAAGACATAATGGAATAGAATCCAGAGCAAATTACTATATCAAGACAATTCAGTATAAACGAAGATATTAGAAAAAGCAAGCTGCGACAGTGAAAAAAGGCCAGTTAAAGCTAGGAAAGTAAATAAAACAGATGAATTTCTGGCAAGGTTAAAGTTATGGAGAAAAAGAAAGGTAATAAAAAATCATATTGCATTTTAGAGCAGATTCTTAAAGACTACTGGACGAGAACTGTCTATTAACAACATGGCATGATGTGGTCACAAGTTAGGTCTAAGGGAAGTGTTTAGATGCAGCTGCGCCCTCTCTCAAAGAGATGGCTTTGAGACAGAACAGAGACACCCACCTGCTCCTGTTCAGTGTCAAAGTCGTCATCCTCTGCGCCGATGATCTGAGGTGCCATGCGGGAGGAGGGACTCCCTACACTGGATTGAGAATCCTGAGGTGTTCAAAGGAAAAAAAAAAGAAACACACAGTGCAGAAAGCGCTTAATGTCTCGGGGAAGGTTTCTTTGTCATCCGTCTATGGACTATCATGACATTTTCACTGCTAACAGTTCCTTTTGGAACCCAATCTAGTCTTCAGCCACTCCTCCTTGTCCCAAATTTCTCCCTCAGGGATATATTTGAGCTGGCTAATGGATGGGCACCTTAGTGCAGTCAGGACAGTATCCTGTAATACCCTGACTGAGTTTAGTTTAAGTATTTTACAAATGCAGTGGTTCACGTGGAAGTGAGGGATTGCATACAGTTACATGGAATAGGGAGACTACGGCCCTTCAGGAATTAACAACAGTAGGGTTGGTTAGGCAAAAATCACTGAGGTTGCAACACATGCAGAGTGCTGTCATCACTTGGAGAGAAATTCATCTAGAGTGGTTCAAACTGGACTCCCAGGGATCAACACACACAGAGAAAGGATTTTTGGATAAAGAGCTTGAGTTTAAAATGGATCCAGAGCTTGCTCTCTCTCTGATGCGGGGGGGGAAGGGGGGGGGCTTGTTGGAGTCAAGGGGTGATCTCTGGAAAGCTATTACCATGTGTGTATGTTATTTTATTGTTTATAATGTGGGGGGTTTGTGGGTAATGTATTTATCTTAAGAATAAATGTGTTTGCTTTGAAAGAGCTGCATGGTATCTCAACTGTGGCAGCAAAGCAGGCCAGCTCTGGCAGTGCAAGCAAGGAACGGGGCAGTCAGATAATACCCCAGTCAGGAGGAAGAGAGGCACAAGTCTCCACCCAATTGAGCTGTCAGCTGAGGAACCTATAGCTTATAGTGGGTGCCCTTGCTGGACATTGCAAGAGGGAAATGCAGATACCTGAACTGTAACATACGATCTTCTCTTAAAACAAACAACAATGCTCAAAAAAGCCACCACTAACAGGTCTGAAACTCACATTCTATAGCTTGTTTGTGTTCTCTGAATGTCACCCAAAGTGAGAATGGGTGCAAGCAGGCATGCTGCAAGGTGGCATACACCTAGCCAGTTCCTGCTGCAAGTGGAGGCATTTGACTCGCAACAGTTCCTGAACATTTTCCAAAAACTGGTTTGTGTGTCACCTCCTTAAACTGCTGTTAATGGGAAGAGCACTGAGCTGACATACCCCCAGAGGTGCATGCACTGCAAGTTGGGAACCCCTGGAATCAGGCACGATTGAAAATTAAGGGTGGGAGAGGCATATCCCCTAGAATTCTTCCTTGGGAAAATTATTCATTCAAATAACCAACATATACCATTGACCAAAGTTGCTTCCTGTCACCCCCCATTCACAATGGCATCCCTGATGGTCCTAAGCACACAGTGATTGCATGTCTCTAGGCAAGAAAGCCTTCTTCCATCTAGGGTGAGCTGAACGAGTACGGGCTTAGAGGACAGTTCCACCCATGCGAAAGACAACTGTCTTACAGCAGATTATATAGGTCGGATCATTTAATGGACCCATTTTTAAGCTTCATAAACATTTATTCAGCCAATTAAAATTTCCCGCACAACTCTTAATTGAGCATAAATTGACCTTTTGCCTTAGAAAATGAAATGTAATTTAGACAAGAGAAAAATAAAGCCTCGTTCGCCAGCCGTGCTGTCCAGCGATCTGCGCATGAGCAGATCGCCCGAACCCGGCTCTTCCAGGTTGCAATCTACTCGCCACGGGCAAGTAGATTGCATTATTTGTTGAGCCCTGCTTATTACAGAAGCAGCAGCTATGGTCACATGGTGTGTTTTCGACTCACAGTATCTTGAATCTCACTCTTCTCTGGACTCTCCTCCAGGTAAATCCGTTCCTTCGGGCCACTGCGGGGACTCTGGGAAGGAAGAAAGGGCAGTTCTGGTGAGCAGCAGCAGGCCCAGAAAAATAAGAACTGTGGACTAAGTTCACGAATTACAACAGATAAATGTCACATTGCTCATATTCAGTGGACTTCTAAACAGCTATCAAAATAGGCAAGAAAAGTTAACACTAAATAGATACCCACTCACACACATCAATAAATAGCGAATGAATACATTTCTAGGGTACATGGAAGGAACTGAGTCAATTAAACTATTAATATTGGTAAGCAATTAATATTGGCCAAATTTCCTTCATTACAAAGGCTACAACAGGTTTAACCTCTCCAGTCTGACACACCCTAGTCCTGCAACATCCGTGGTCCAGCATGATTTTAGTTACCTAGATGTCCACTTATCATGGATGTGGCCAAATTTCCCAGTTTGTTTACAGCCCCCAGTCCTAGCACTCAGTGTTCTGTGCTGTTATTTAGCTCTAATTTACCCTTAAATGTCTTCTAAAAGCCCACCCAGCAAGCAGTGGAAGGGTTGGTAATGCTGCTAGACAATATTGACCTCCTATGGTTTGGCAAATTCTCTGTTTCAGCACCGGTCAGATCCTAAGAGTGCCAGACTAGAGAGGTTCAACCAGTACCTCGAGTGGCAATTTTCACCCTGACCAATCCCCTTAATGTAAGTCTCTCTGATGTTATGTTGCACTGGATTTCAACTTGCTTTCATTTGTGGATCTCTAAACAAAATTACAAATGGAGGTGCAGGTCTTTTGGAAATCTTAGGCGCCGACGACAGTCCTTCAGGGGTCTTTGAATGCAGATTGAAAACTACTGTTACACTGTCCATTTACACCCTCATTTTTATGCCACCTTGGTGGCTTTCTTTTCTAGACTCTCCTCCTTTAATTTCCAATTACAGGTGGGAGCCCTGCCCAGCTAGATGCCAACACCTGGGTTAATCAAGAAGAAAAGGGAGAGGAGTCAGCTGAGATTCCAAGCATTTGACAACGTGATTCCCATTCTCCCCCCATCCTAATAGGTGAAGATTTTGAAACCTGTGACAACAGGTTATAATGGAAACCCATTTGCTACCTTAACTATAATGGGTGGGACTACTGCTGGCTGTCAGTAAAAAACAGGTTCCCTTTCAAAGTCTTGCATCTCTTGAGCTGGGCTCTCTTGTAGAGGGAAGAGATCCCCTTGGCCCACCCTTCTCATAAATCATTTTTCAACTCTGCAAAGATTGTTTCAGGATCTTGGGTGTATAGTTTTTATGAAGTCTTAACTTTATGCTTCAGTAAGATTATAGGCCTAAAATTGAAAAGCAATGACATAATTACTTGGCGGAGCAGCTCTCTCTCAGGGATATCAAAGTATTTAAAAAAAAATATGGAATTTCACACAATCCAGTAGGAGGAAGTAATTATCATGCCCAATACATAGATGAGAAGACTGACCCAAAAGTTAAGGGATACATCCAAAGTTATAATAGCCCCCGTTCCAATTCCCCTGCACACCAAGACATTTCAGCAAAGGGGTCTTATTAGTACTGAGATAGCTAGCTGATGGGTCATTACAAGAAAAGGCTCTTGCTACTAGTAAATGACTGATGGATATCTGGTAGGAGTGATGCTTTTCCTCACACTCATGGCACCTTGCCCTGTGTTTCTGAGTCATTTTAACCACAAATGGAATATTAACATGTTCTTCCAGATACAGAAATGAGGCAAACTTCAGTAACACACTGGCATTCATCTCTCTCTGCCTGGTAACAGGGAATGCGCCAGAAAAACCCAACCCTGAAAAACATGGTATTTTCCTTTTACAGTATCTCAGGGAAGACTAGTACTGCAAGCTTCTCATTAGCAGTCTTTGGTACATCCCTCAAGGCGCTGCACGTGTACTGTGTGTGGGTGTGTGAAAGAGAATACATGCATAACACACAGGGGGCATACCTGTCAACCTAAAACCTTTGA